AAGGCTTGTGTCGTGAGGCTTGCAGAAGATTCCCATCAGAGCTGGCAAGCGGACAAATCACTGGCGAAAAGATGGTGTTTTCCCTTGACGGAGTTCTGGAATCTTACAAACCCTCCCTCTCCTCCTCTCTGCTCATTCGTCAGTGATGGAAAGCACAGTAAAATTTTAAAATGATGGGAAGATGGCCAAGACCAAGTGGAGAAAGCAACTGCAGAACAATATCCGTAGTGGGATGATTTTTCCGACAAATACTTGGAACGAAACCTAGAGAATATGCATCAAACTGTGTGTGGTGGTTTTGTTTTTTCCAGCTTTTTGGATTATGTCTCATATACTTTTGTAAAGTTTGAAAAGATTACATCACGCACATTCTTTTGTAATTAAAAAAAAGGTTTAAAAAAGAAACAAAATCCACAAACAGGAAGCACAGGATTCAAGAAATCTTTACCAAATGTTCACATAGGACTCGGAATGTGTATCTAAACAGATCAGTGTTGACTATGTTACCTGTCTTCCTTGCTGATCAGTAAACTTCATGAAGTCAAAGATGATGACTGCTGAGACATATCTGCAGTCCCAGAATTTAGCAGAAGGTGATGTGCTAGGTCAGGGGTCAGTAAACCTTCGCTGTAAAGGGCTGGTTAGCAAATATTTTAGGTTCTAGGGGACAAGAGGAAAATTTAAGAAACTATGTAGGAACTTACATAACAAGAAAGAAAGTACACTCCCATACTTATGTTTATTAACAAAATTCAAAACAGAATGACTAAGTATAATCTTTAGTAATACAGGTCTACTAGTAAGAATGTATTCTTTGGGGGGAGGGATAATATTTCACTTAAGGAGCCCTGGTGGAACAGTGGTTAAGCGCTTGGCTGCTAACTAAAAAGTTGGCAGTTCGAATCCACCATCTGCTCTGTGGGAGAGAGATGTGGCAATCTGTTCCAGTATAGATTTACAGCCTAGAAAACTCGATGGGGCAGTTCTACTCTGTCCTACAGGGTCGCTATGAGTTGGAATCGACTCAGTGGCAATGGATATTTCACTTAACTGAGGCTCAGAGTTAGTATTCTTTATCATCAAAATAGGTTGTAAATGTTTGATGTTTCCCCAAGTATTTAAAAATGTAAAAACCATTCTTTACTTACAGGCCATACAAAAACAGGCAGCCCATCCAATCTGGCTCACAAGAAGTAGTTTGCTGTGCTAAGCAATTGACATATTTTTAATGAATGAAAGGAGGAAGAAAGGCAGGTACATTCTTCTTACCTGCACCTGTATATCACTGGGACACATCAGCCTCTTGAATATTAGAACAGCAGTTTCAGGAGTCAAAAAACAGCTGCTGAATGATTCAGACTCATGGTGACCCCATATGTGTTAAGAGTAGAACTGGGCTCCAAAGAGTTTTCAATGGCTGATTTTTTGGAAGTAGATCACCAGGCCTTTCTTCTGAGGTGCATTTGGGTGAACTTGAACCTTCAGCCTTTGGGTCAGCAGCCTAGTGCATTAACCATTTGCACCACCCAGGGACTCCTTTAGGAATGAGAAACTGTTTTAATTACCCTGGAATCCAGATTTGGGAGTCCATGGAGTTGGGGTGACCTACCCGGGCCATTTGCCCTTAGGTGTCTTTTTAAACCTTAAGCCTTGAAGAAACTGGTTTCCTAAAGTCACGTTTAAGTCAAACAATATCCTAGTAAGCAGCTGAGTGAAGACTGTTTTGCCTTAGGTCTTGGGCTCTTGGAGAATTATCTACATGTAGTCAGTTTCGACCAACAGGAACTGCAGGGTCTGACCGGAAGCTGTGTTTCAGGGTAAACTGTTATTATATAAACGCTATCCTGGCCCGTTTCCATAGCAATACTGATAAGATGTGGTATAAGAATTTTGGAAGTTCTCATCTTCAGAATATTTTGGACTCTCTAGTCGAAATGTTACCCCAATTTGCAAATCGTATATTGAATAAATTTCAATCAATTTCTATTATCGGCTTCATCTGATTTTTATTTTAACAGGAGTCAAAGAGGTAGTGATATCATTTCCGCTGCTTCTAAATATAAGACCTCCCAGCTTTGAGGGAAAAAGCAGAGCCAGACATGCGTCAGGAAGTCTGGTGATGGATTAGCTTTAGAAGCTCCACATGGGTAAGTCAGCTCCAAATGACGGCATGGACTGAGCACCTGTCCCTGGCCAAGGCGCTGCCTCCAAGACAGCGAGATGAGTTCATTACACTTTCTCTCCAGAGCAGGCTGAACAACAGCCCCTCTGCCCACAGCTGGCCCTTCTTGGGTCTGCAGTCAGGCTGCTGGTCAGAGAATGTTCTGGATGTTAAGGGTGAGCCAGACCAGCTGGCAGTGGCAGTGTGTTTGCTGAGAGGCTTTTATGGATTGTTCCCCCAAAAAGTTATGTTGAAATCCTAACCCCTATACCTGTGAGCGGAGCCCTGGTGGCACAGTGGTTAAGAGCTCAGGGGCTAACCAAAAGGTCAGCAGTTCGAATCTACCAGCTGCTTCTTGGAAAACCTATGGGGCAGTTCTACTCTTTCCTGTGGAGTCGCTGTGAGTCGGAATCCACTCAAAGGCAACGGGTTTTTTTTTTTTTTTGGTAACTGTGTGACCCTGTTTGGGAATCAGGGCTCTTTGTTATGTTAATGAGCCACACCGTACTGTGGGCCCTAACCCTAATCACTTCTGCCTGTTGTCTTAGCAGAGTAGACACGCACAGTGATAGAAAAGGGGTACCCCACTGCTCCAAGCCTTTTCCCGAGTGCTCTTGGTATTCCGAGACTAGGGAGAAAGGAGGCTATTTTGCTGGGGGCGGTGGGAAAATCATATTCCCATGAACTCAAGGGATGCCCTGTTCCTGGCTCTGCTCAGAGCCTGGACTGTTAGGACCCACAAGCTGCTCACTTAGGAAGCGCCTTGAGAGGCAGTCCATTGGGAGCACACAGCTGCTGCCCAAGTCAACAGTAGCTTAGTGACTCCTGGGAGGCCCTGCCAAGCCGCCCTGGGCTGGGTGAGTTATTCGTATCAAATGAGACGCTGCAAAGAAAGCGTGAAGGACGCTGCATGTCGTAGGTGCTCCTGCAGGGGAAGCGAACAGTTTAGGGAGAGAGCGTAAGGATCGCCGCACAGCTGGTGGTGAGCAGCCCACATGCTCTACCTGGGAGACACGCCCCCCACCCGCCACTGCATTATACAGAGGGTCCATTGGAGGGGATCTAGAGGGGGGCTCTGGGTCAGACACTCCTGGCTCTGCTGCCTGCTCCAACCAAGTCGTCAACCTCTCTGCACCTCTGATTTGTTGTAATGAACCATCTCGTAGGGTTGCTGTGACACTTCAAAATTAATAGATTAGGGGATACTCATCTCCTGTTGGAGCCCTGGTGGCACAGTGGTTAAGATCTCGGCTGCTAACCAAAAGTCAGCAGTTCGAATCCAACAGCCGCTCCTTGGAAACCCTATGGGGCAGTTTTACTCTGTCCTACAGGGTCGTTATGAGTCGGAAGCGACTCAACAGCAATAGGTTTTTTGTTTCTTTCATCTTCTGTCAAGGGTGATGGAAAAATTCGGGAACCATCAATGGTGATGGCTGAACGACATAGCGAATGAAATTAATGTCACCGGACTGTACATGTGAACCCACTGCCGTCGAGTCAATTCTGACTCATAGCGACTCTGTAGGACAGAGAAGAACTCCCTCGTAAGATTTCCAGGGAGCGGCTGGTGGATTTGAACTGCCAACCTTTTGGTTAGTGGCCGATCTCTTAACCACTGAAAGGACTGTAGAAATGGCGAATGTTCTGTTACCTGTATATTTACTACAATAAAAAAATTAATATAAATTCTTGGACAGTCTCTGGCACAGAGAGCACTCAATCATTGTTAGGTAATACTAATAAGGAGCCCCGATGGCACAATGGTTAAGCACTCAGCTACTAACAGAAAAGGCTGGCGGTTTGAACCCACTCAGAAGCCCCGCGGGTGAAAGACCTGCAGTCTGTTCCCATTAAGATTATAGCCTAGGAAACCCTATGGGGCGGTTCTACTGTCACATGGGGTCGCTATAATGGCACCTAACACCATTATGAAGACTATTGAGAGCATGGCCTTTAGGGAGAATTTGGAGAAAGACTAGGGCAGAAGTGAGGCCTGTCTTGAGATGCCCTGAGACCTTCATTCAAGGCCTCATCTTTCAGTTCTCACGCTGAAACTGATACTGACATCTACTGTCAAGCCCCTCCACGCCCACCACATAGCCCTGGAAGAGACCGCTCAACACACGCCTTATTCCCAGCAGCCGAGGAAGCTGGAGGCTGACTGCATATTTAGTACAAGTGGTTTATTTCTCTTCCAGGTGAGGCTACACAGGTATGAAGCAGAGGTCTGTCCACCTGGCTCCTTCAGGAGCCACCGAGGAATTTTAGCTCAGTTTACATGCATTCAAAGCACCTCTTCTAGTTGCCAGTAATGACATGTTAAGAAGCAACACCTTGATGGCGCAGGAGTCCCTACCTGCACGCAAGGGGGAATACGAAGGGTGGGCTTAGGGTACACGGTATGTACAGGTTAGTGTGGGTGGAGACACAGGCCTGGTTCTGTCGCAGAAGCTTGGATGAGAACCTCTGTGCTGTCAGTGTTTTGATGACAAGGTAGCTCTTCCAAACAAGAATGGAACCCCGGTCCCAAGCTATGGCACCCTGCATCCCTGCTTTGGTGTGCGAGGTGGAGGAGGGGGTTCCCTCTTGTGCACTAAGTTGGCAGAGGTTGGAGCACCAAAGACCCTCACCCTGGCTCCTCCTCAGGGCAGAAGGGGGGTCGTTATTCCCTCCTGGCCAACAAGATCATTTCCATCTAGCAGGTATGGTCAGGGGCGTGGGACACTGGGTAGTCGGGGAGGTGGGGAAGAGGCCTGTCTCCACTTCAAGACACAATCCTCCCGCTTCTGCTAAAACCTTTGATATCAACCTTACTTGAAGACACGAGGGGGCAGGCAGACTGGTCATTCAGCTGCCCCCGACCAAGAACAGGGGGCTCTGTTCAGTTCAGCTTCTCCCCCCTCTTAAAAGAGCCTCCCTCGGAAGAGGGATGAACCCAGATTCCCACCTTACAGCAGCCTGGGGTAGAACATCTCCCTGATCTTTATTCTGTTTCAGACTCCAGCCCCATCTACAGGTCTGTCAAGAATTGGTCAGTGCCAGAAAAATCTGCCAAGTAACAACCGAGGTGAGGAATGAGTGCGAGTCTACAGGAAAAACTAGATGTGCTATGGGCATCGGTTCTTTGGATAATCAAAATATTTAGAAACAGGAAAGAAAAAAAAAAAAGAGTTAAAGTTGTTTTCAAAGTGTCTGTTAATACCTGAGACGGCCCTGGCCGCAGCTAGCAACCTCAGAGCGTCATCCCTGGAAGGAGGGGAGATGACAGGGGTTATGGGGAGATGCCGCCCCATCAGGGCAGCCAGGGAGGACAGCGGTGACGCGGACAGCTCACCCGGGCTTCTGAGCCTGGCTGAGCTGCTAGGAGCCAGGTCCTGGCAGTGGGACCCCAAGAGGGATTGGCTCCAAGGGTGGCGGTGCCACCCGATCCCCTCCTCTCTGCCTGCCCCACCTGGTGAGGGTGGAGGTCAGGCCAGGCCAAGCCAGGCTGCTGGAGAGGGGACGAAGAGTGGCAGCCCGGGGGCAGTGGGCAGAAGAGGGAGAGGCTGCCCATGTCACGAGTCTTCCACCATCCCAGGGCCTTAGTCAGGAACCTCCACAACCCCAGGCTGCGTCTTCCCGGATCTCAGCGCCAACCTCTGTAGTCCTGCCTTTGGTTTCTATGAAAGAAACGCAGCTGTGAGGAGGCCGGAACCCCAGGCATCGTTAGGCTGGGTAGTGCCTCAGGTTCTCATCCGCCATGGACAGGTAGGTGGCCCTCATGCTGGGGGAGTACTGTGGGGAGAGAGGAGAGGGGTCAGTCAGCAGGGGACCACGCCATGGGACCAGGCAAACTGCACACTGTAGTGGAGGTGCGGGGACTTCTCAGAGAGCAAGAGCCAACCCGCTGCTACAGCAGCCAGGCACCGAGTTCTAATCCTGGTGCACTGTGGGGACTGGCGGGTACCAGAGGCCTGGGCAGGCAGCTGTGCCTGGTGGTACATATATCCCCATGGAGAGCAGCCCGCGGCTGGGAGATGGGGGGAGGGGCCCCCTCAAGCCCAGATCCATCAGGACTTCTGGCTCGCAGCCTTAAATGCAAACCCACTCACAGTCCAGCTGTCCTCCACCATGCTGCACCTCCACTCCGATGCGCACCACCGCACAAGGAGGTAAGAACACCGAGGCCGTCACCTCACATCGGAGACAGCTGCAGGGTGCACCACTTCAGCTAGGAGCCCCGTGGGCAAGCTGGCTGTGGTGCAGGTGCGAGGTTCAGGGAGCCAGGTGCCAACACCAGCTGTGCCGTGACCATGGCTGAGGTTCTCCAATCTCCCCAAGCCTCAGTTTCCCCACCTGTATGGTGCACGTGAGAGCACTCAGCTCTCACCCTGAAAGGTTGAGATAACACGAAGCAGCCAAGACCCCTCCCACAGCGGTTCTTTAGAAACACCGGGGGAGCTTAGCAGATCCATATGCCCGGGCCCCACCCCACCTGCATTTTTAAAAAATTGAGGTAAAGTTCACGTGACATAAAATTAACCATCTTAAAGGGTCACCAGTAGTTTTCAAAGCTGTTCAGGTAATTTCAATATGCAGCCAGGTCGGAGAAGCAGTGACCTCAGGCAGAGGAAGCACTTAACAGCAGCGCCAGCTAGGAACTCCTGTCCTGGTCACTGACACAGTGAGGCTCGACCAGCGCCTCTCACACCACCGTGTGCACATGGACCACCTGGGGAACCATCTGAGATCCTGCATTTCTAACACGCTCCCGATGCTGTCTGTCTGCTGACCCCGAGTCTCTGGGACTCCAGGGAAATCTGGGGGGCCAGGCACTGGCATCAGAGAACGGGGAGGGAATGCTTCCAGCTGGGGGAGGCAGACGAGGCTCTTTAACCCAGTGGGTCTCAGCTGGGGGTGATTTTTGACTCCCCCCCGACCCCCAGAGATATTCAGCAGTGTCTGGAGACATTTTTGGTTGTCACGACTTGGGGTGGGTGGGTAGAGGCCAGGGATGCTGCTAAGTATCCTATAATGCACAGGACAGTCCCCACCACAATGATCCTGCCCCAAATGTCAGCAGGCTGGGAAATCCACCTGGGAGCAGTGACTTTCCAAGCGTGGTTCCCAGACCTGCAGCAGCAGCTTTCCCAGGGAACAAGTTAGAAATGCAAACCCAACCCTCGACTCCACGCCAGGTTTTGGGAATCAGAAGCTGGAGGTGGGCCCAGCAGGCTGTTTAACAAGTCTTCCAGGTAAATTTGATGCTTGCTCAAGCAGGAGAACCCTCAGATTAAGGAGGAGCTTCCCAACCTTCCTGGATGATAAGGATCACCCGGAGCTTGTTAACTAAAAACTTCCCAGGCTCCTTCCTGGAAATCCTGATTCAATAAGTTTGGCGTGAGGTCCCGGCATAGGTCTTTTTAACAACTGCACCAGGTCCTTTTCGCCTCTCAAGGGTATGAAACGGTTTGGAAGGACAGAAGGGATTCCGGGAGGCAGAGTTCTGGGGGAAGACACCTTTCTAGCCAAGGGAGTAGACTGCTTTCCGGATAGCTCTGCTGAGATCAGCCACTGGGGAACTCCTGTCTGCCCCAGAGATGGAGTTTGGAAGAGGGAGGAACTGCCCCAACTGAGGCACATGGAGTACAGGTGGGTACTCAGAGCAGGCAGCAGGGGAGTTGGGGAGGGCTAACAGCACCTTTGGGTGTATCTCTACCCAGCTTGCGTGAGGTGTGGTGTGGAGACAACTTCCCTTGGGCAAGCTGCTTAAGAGATCGGCAGGTGCGATGCTCTGGGTAAAAGTGCCAGAGGGGTGGTCGACGGGAAGGATGGGACTGGGTAAAGCAGGCTTTCTCAATCCCACACCATTGACATTTGAGGCTGGATCATTCTCTGGGCATTGTAGGATGTTCGGCAGCATCCCTGGCCTCATCCTCTAGATGCCAGTAGCACCCTCTCCCCCGCTGTAAAAAGAAAAAACATCTCCAGACACTGCCACATGTCCCCTGGGGAACACAGTCACCCCTGCTCTAAGGTATGGCTCTAATGCCACCGACTCCACAGAACCATCTGGGATTCCCAGGGCAGAACGGACGGTCCTCCCCTCCTGATCCCCAAGCACTATATGGCACCTAACTACGGGCAGTTTTCCTGACTCTCGTCCTACAGATCCTGCATTTCCGGAAGAGTGATCGGCCCTGGTCTCTTTCTCCAGCTCCAGCGCTGTGATTTGCAGAGAGCATCACATCTGGGAAGCTGGTTCAATAGATGCCCCACGAGCATCCTGGGGTCTCAGGTCCCAAGCCCTATTTCATTAGTCCCATTTACCTGGGTCTCCAGTGTTGGCCGTCCCCTCACAAAACACCTGGATGCAGCGGGTGACAGGCATTGTGCGGTGAAGGCAAGGGCTCCCTCCCTGACAAACACCTGGCTCAAGAACGCTGCTGCCCATCCCCTTGCAGACTTCCAACCTTGTCTTCCATGCCCCCCTTATAAAGGCCACATTAATAAGTATGTGCTATTATTACCATCCCATTCTACAGATGGGGAAACTGAGGCAGGGAGAGATGAAGTACTTGTCCAGATTCACAGAAGTCGTAAATGCCAAGTTGGGATTTGATCTTCCACATTCTACTGCCTCTATTTATAGCTCTCTCTGTATCAGCTAGCATTCCTGTGACCCTTAGATCCTTCTTTTGGGTAAAAGAACATGATGGTCTTTCCTTCTCAACTTGCCCACCCTCTACCCCAGGCTCCTGCCCTCATGACACATCTTGGGGTCCTTGGCTAGAGGTGGTGGGGCGGGCAGGAGGCACAGACCCCACTAGGGCACAGGTCCAGGGACAGGAGAGCTGGGTGGGGTGGAGGAAGACTGTGCCCCGTATGAGTCCTCTCAGACCGCCATCCTAGCCGCCCTGCCCTCCAGCCTATGTGGTGCAGAGGCTGAGGGTGTAAACCAAACCAAACGAAAACCCACTCACAGAAACCCTGTAGGACAGAGTAGAACTGTCCCATAGGGTTTCCAAGGAGCGGCTGGTAGATTTGAACTGCTGACCTCTTGGTTAGCAGCTGAGCTCCTTACCACTGTGCCACCAGGGCTCCAACCAAACCCGTTGCCATCGAGTTGATTCTGACTCAAAGTGACCCTATAGCACAGAGTAGAGCTGCTCCATAGGGTATCCAAGGCTGTAATCTTTATGGAAGCAGATTGCCACATTTTTCTCCCACAGAGTGGCTGGCGGGTTCAAACTGCCGACCTATCGGTTAGCAGCCCAGCGCTTAACCACTGCACCACTCCTTGAGAGTATAAAACCCATTGCCGTCGAGTCGATTCCAATTCATAGCGACCCTATAGAAGAGTTGAACTGCCCCATAGGGTTTCCAAGGAGCACCTGGTGGATTCGAACTGCCAACCTTCTGGTTAGCAGCCGTAGCACTTAACCACTATGCCACCAGGGTTTCCTGAGAGTATAAGGGCAGATACAAATCTAAAAAGAAAAGATTTTCCTGAATCTTCCCCGGGGTAATGGGGGAAAGAGACCATCCCTCCCCCTTTTCTTTAGAAAACTTGTAAATTATTTCTCTGTCCCTTTGCCAAAACCAAAATCCGTTGCCATCGAGTCGATTGACTCAGCAACTCTGTAGGACAGAGTAGAACTGCCCCAAAGTGTTTCCAAGGAGTGGCTGGTGGATTAGAACCGCCGACCTTTCGGTTAGCAGCTCAGCATTTAACCACTACGCCACCAGGGCTGTCTTTAAGATGTGTGTATATCTTTTTAAATACTAAATAAGGCTCTTGTCAGTTTTAAAACTCAGGAATGTTTTCTTAAGGGTCTCAGCTCCATCTCTGAAATGCAAGCGTCAAGGAAGACAGTACCCCAGTCTCCCAGTTTCTGGGAGTCTACCTTGGGTGCCTGGCTCCAAGCTGTGACTCCCTGCTTGTCACAGAGACATGGGAAGTCTTACTTTTCCTTTGGATAAAGGTGGTCAGCCAACACCCTAATTACCAGGTGACTTTCCGATAGATTATGGATAACAAAGGAGTCCTTGGGTTGCACGAATGGTTGGTTTTCTACTACTAATTGAAAGGTTGGCAGTCTGAGCCCACCCAGAGGTGGCTTGGAAGACAGTCCTGGCAATCGGCTTCCAAAAGTCCATGAAAACCCTGTGGAGCACAGTTCTACTCTGCAACACATGGGGTCACCATGAGTTGGAACCAACTCAACAGCAACTGATAAATGTGACAAACGGTGCTGCCGAGTCCTCTTATTTGAGGACAACTTATCGTTTGTCTTGAGAACATGCATGCAGCGGGTTGGCTCTGCCCGGCTCTACAAAAGCGTGAGATGTTTCATTGTTCTGCGGTCTTTTCAGCGGGTGGCCAGTGACACCCATCTCAGGCTGGTTTTGTGCTTATTCCAAAATAAACTGTCTCATTCTTTTCTACCTTTGTGGAGCAGATTCACTGGATTGGCAGGAGGTGCTGTTTCTCATTATTTCCCTCCCACCGGCTGCCCCAGCGGAAGTCCAGGTTACCGTGGGAGGGGGGGAGCCTCTTCCGATGAGCGGTACATTCTCATAGCGGGGGTTCCCACCGAAGAGTGCCGCTTGGTTCCTGTGGGGGCCGAGACGAGAGCTCAGGAGGGGTGAGGGGTGTGGGTGTGTGTACCCATTGCTACACGAGGTCCCCGTGGGGTGTATGCTGGGGTAGAGGATGAAATGGACAGGCGTGGAAGGGGGGGTGTGAGCAGGAAGATAAGGTGCCCAGGGAGAAGCAGCAGAGCGGGGTGACAGGTATGGGGAGCAGGTGGCCCCAGAGGCCTCCTTGGGTTGAGAAATGCAGCTTCTCAGCCCTGTGGCCCACCCCGTGGGCTCATGGCAAAAGCCTGCTGATGGGCATCTACAGGAGATTCCTCTTCCGCACGTGTGGGTGTGGAGGGGGGAGGATATGTTCTCTGGGCCCTTCCGGGAGGGCATCCTATGGCTGTAGAGGGGGGCACCCCGTGGCTGTGGGGGGGCCCTGGGTGGCCTTAATGCCTTCCCTTCCCCACCTGGCTCTCTGGACCTGAACATGTAATCACAGTCCCCCTTCTAGGGCTGAAAGCTGAGCCTAGCTGGGATGTGTGCCCCCCGCCCCAGCTCCTACATACATGTACTCGGAGACTGGGGCGTTGGAGATGGTCTGGGCCGGGGGCTGCAGGCTGGTCTGGCTGCCCAGGCCGCTGCTGTAGCTGCAGAAGCTGTGAAGCGGCCCCCGCGGGGGGTTGTGCGCAGCGATGCGCCGGGCCTGGGGGTTAAAGGGATCGTCATCATCGATGTCATCGTAGTCCCTGTCCCTAGAAGGAGATGTGGAAATGCGGACAGCCGTGAGAGGCGAGGGAGGCTCCGGGAGTCCTGCCTGCTTCCCAGGCTTTTCTCCTGGGACTCTTCTCTGGCCACACGTGTCTCCTTGAGTCTCTTCTAAAACATGGACCTCAGCCCTGCCTCCCACCAATCACTATCCGCACTTTCCCCACTTCACATCCACCTCCTCCTCCAGGAAGCCCACCATCCTGACTGCACACCAAGTGTCGGTATCACTAGGGCCTGATACACCACCTTGTCCCTCTGTCTGTCTCCTCAACAAGACTGTAGGCTCCCTGATAACACCGACTTCAGTTGACCCTTGGTATGCCCTGGGCCCCTTCTCCCAGCACCCAAAACTCTCTTCCCTGCTGCACACTGCAAAGTCCTGCCCAGGAAGAGAGACACAAGGAATACCAGCTGTGGCACGGGGGCCGTCACCATCCTCAGGCCCCTGCTCTTGCCGTGGAACCTCCCTTTGGGGGTCTGTCTGGACTCTCAGGAAAGCTCCTGCAGAAATCCAGCCAGCCTCTGGGGGCTGAAAAGGCCCTGGGTCCTCTGCCTCCCTCTCAGCCTAGGTTAGCAGCCTTGGCTCAGTGACAGAGCAGAGCCTCCCACCTGTAACCCCTGGGCACCAGCAGGCTCCCCTCCTTACCTGGTGGCAAAGTGCTTCCAAGCCCGTGGCCCCACACAGATCATGGTGGAGAAGGCCAGGGCGGCCAGGAGGGAGAAGAGGCCAAGGTAGAGCAAGCCCTCGATACCATCATAGCAGACGCCAGTGAGGGCATCCAGGTAGTCCTGGGTGGGAGTGGGGTGGGGGGGAAGGAACAGGCCATTGGACAGGGAGTTGGGGGCACACTTGGGCTCTGAGCTCTTCTTGGAAGCCCCTCTGCTGGGCCCGTGATCACCTGGCTGCTCCCCATCCTAATCACCTGAGACAGCCACACTGTGGCACCCGATGCAGTGGGTTTCTTGGGCTCACCCTACAGACATCTGCTGAGCACCGACTGTATGCGAGGACTGGAGGTTTGGCGCCAAAGAAGGCAGACGCAACTGCGGGGGGCGGGCAGGAGCCAGGGAAAGTGTGTCCAAGGAGGAGGCATTTAAGGTGAAGCCAGGAGGGCAAGAAGCAGCACATCTTGAGAAGACGGGGACAAGGGGACAAGCTTGCATGTCCAGGATGAAGAACAAAAGCAACAGGAGGTGAGGTCAGGTGGGCCAGGTCATGCTGGGCCTTGGGGACAGCCTGGGAGTCTGGATCTTGTCACATGGTGACAGAAGGCATGGGAGAGATCGAGGATGAAAGAGATGTGACCTGATTCATTTCACGGCCCCTCTGGCTGCCGTGGGCAAAAGGAAGGATGGAAGGGGGCAAGAGAGAAAGTGCGGACCAGTTAGGAGCCCAGGGGAGCAGGACGGGGAAGCCGTGGACAGAGGCGTGGACAGATTTAGGATCCCCGTGAGAGCAGAGCATCCAGAGCTCGCTGTGGGATTGGATGGCCTGCTTGTGGAGGGAGAAGGGACACAACAGCAGCGCCCACGTTCTCAGTTCTACTAAGTCAGGGTGCAAAACCCCACTCCTTGACTCACCAGCTCTGGAATCTTCTGTATTCCACTTGATAGACAATCACATACATACATATATCTTTGTTCCTCGTGTGTAAAATTTCCCTTGAAATAACATCTATTTCATGATATAACTGTGAGGCTAAATGCCCTACTGAATACGAGGTGCACAGAATAGGGCCGAGCACAGAACCGAGGACTTAGTAAACAGCAGCGTGATCATTATTATTAGCTGCTCTAAATCCATCAGGGATATGAAAGCTGTTGACTTCTGGGGGCCGCACACACTCCTGAAGTGTTCCCTGAATTAGCTAGCGTGCCCGCCTGGCTGATATTTCGAGTTCCTGGAGAGCTGACCCTGGTTGCCACTTGCAAGCCAGTGAAAATGGCAGGTCGGGGCCTCCCAGCACTCTAGGGCTACCGCACCCACCTTGTCCCTTTCACCAACCCTGTGTCTCAGCCACTGGAGAGAATTAAGAAGCCAGGTACCTCCCCCACCTCCCCACCATCCAGCCCGATCCTGGGCCTGAGGGGAGCCCAGGCTTTTCTCTGGGAAACGGCCTGCTGGGTGCCCCAGCCCCCCACGCCCCCGGGGCCACCCACACCTTGTGCAGCCCTCGGCAGTCCAGCAGGGCCGTCAGCTGGTGAAGGCTGGCCTCAGACGAGTTCAGCAGGAGCTGGATCCCCAGCAGATCTTTCTGAAGTGGGGAGAGACACCGAGGCAAGCATGCAGACAGAGAGGATGCGCGGAGCAAGGCGAGGGCTCGCAGAGAAAAACCACCAACAGCCGCTGTGGCAAAGAAGCCTGCCGAGCCGTGGGAAGGGCCAGCCCGCCCGGGGAGGGGACACAGAACCACAGCCTCACTCTCCGAAGCTGGCCCTGGGGCTCGGCCTTACCTCCGCCGTGGGGAAGAGGGGCACGGCAAACTGCAGCAGCCCGGCGGCCTGGATCTGCATGGTGGTCAGGGAGCGCTGGAAGACGGTCAGCACCTGGGCCAGGAGACAGCGCAGCGACCTGTGAGCCCAGGGCTACCGGGGGCTGTCCCTGCAGCCCGCCCCTCTGCGTCCCCACAGGAGCACCCCTGATTTGGCCGTTCCACTCGCAGGCCATTTACCCCTCATCCTTTCGGGCTCTTGAAAATGACATGCCTCTTGCTCCCCGTGACTCAGAGTGCAGACCTCGGACTGGGAGCTTATCAGAAATGCAGAATCCTGGGCCCCACCCCAGACCTGCTGCACAGCATCTGCGTTCTATCCAGCTCCTGCCTGCATGATGGGAAGGAGCCCTGGTGGCGCCACAGTTAAGCACTTGGCTGCTAACCAAAAAGTCAGCAGTTTGAACCCACCCAGAGGCTCCAGGGGAGCAAGGCCTGGTGATCTGCTTCCGTAAAGATTACAGCCTAGAAAACCACATGGGACAGTTCTCTTCACATGGGGTCGCTAAGAGTCGTGACCAACTTGACAGCACACAACGGGTGATGTGCACACAGGTTAAGGAAGCGCTGACCTAGAATACAGTGACTGAGGGCACCGCCCCCTTCAGGGAAGCAGCTAGACAGAGAACCCAGTGAAGCAAGGACACCCCAGCCACCTCCAGGTCCCTCCTTACTGGTCAGTGTTGGGCTGTGGGACCAAGAGGGAGCGAGTGGATGGAGGGGCCGTGGGTGGGGCGAGGGCTGGTCTGGTGGGCTGTACCTGTTGGAAGGGGCTGCTTACACTCTGGCTGCAGTACAGGTAGTAGCGGGTCACCTCTGCAAGGCAAAGCCACTGGCATCAGGCAGGAGCTCACAAATGACCTGGCAACCCAGCCAGGTTTCCCAAAGGAGGTTGTTTCCAGGAAATGGCCCAGAGATCTAGCTGGCCCTGAAGTACAGGGGCAGGGAAGGGCTGGGAGACTGCAGAGCTGAAAAGGTAAGTAGAGGCACAGGCCGGCTAGCCACATGGGCCTGGCCTGGGCCCCAGAGTGGCCCCGGGCAGCAGAAGCTGGAGAGCTCGTTACCTGTGCTGATCCGGCCCTGCGTGACATTCAGGATGAAGGCGTCGGGAGCCACGCAGAAGTCGCTGGTGCCCTGAGCCAGGGAGAGATGGGGGATGAAGGAACGTCAGGACACCAGCATCCTGGGAGGGGCCAGGTACCACTGCCCCAGCCACTCAGCTCTTTCCAGGGTGGGAAAGAACCCAGAGCTAGGAGCCAGCCTCCCTGAGTTCGAATCTCGTCTCTGCCCTTGCCTAGCTTTGTGACCTTGGACAAGTGACGTATTCTTTCAGTACCTGATTCCTCATGTCTAACATGGAGACAATAATGCTACAGATCTTATGCATTCATACACGTAAAGCGTTCAGAAAAGTGACTGGAAAAGAGTAGGCGCCATATGAACACGAACTCTTATTCCCAAATGCCTCTTCAGACAGACCCGTGGGCTCTCCCAGGAAGGGTGTGTGTCCCTTTCCTCAGGGGCCGGCAGATCTGGGCTCAGGGGAGCTGCGTGTAGGGCGTGTGTTAGGAAGCTATTATTTTTATTTCTGGTGTGGCTGTTTCAAGTCCTACAGGCTCCGAGGGTTGATCTATGAACCTCCCCTGGGCTCTCTTTCTAAAGAATTAAGTTCCTATGGATCCACATGGGAAGCTTTGGGTACAGGACCTGCTCATGACGACATACTGGGATGGAAGGTGCATGGACCCAGAGGACATGGGTCCCAGCTAGGTGACCGGGACTCAGGGAGTGTCATTCCCAGCGGCCTGGCCTGGCTGGGTGACCGCCAAGGGTCTCTGAAGATGTTATGAGTTAACATGAGGTCACACTACAGTAGACTGGATGCTAATCCAGTGTGAGTGATGGCGTTATAACAAGAGACACACAGATGGGCATGTGATGAGGGAGGCAGGTCTGGAGAGATGGAAGCACCTATAAGCCAAGGAACACCAAGGATCACCAGCTGTCACCAGCAGCTAGGAGAGAGGCATGGAACAGATTCTCCCTCAGAAGGAATCAACACAGCCAACACCCTGATTTTGGACTCCCAGCCTCCAGAACTATAAGAGAACAGATTTCTGTTCTTACAAGCTACCCTCTTTGTGGTACTTCATTGACGCAGTCCCAGGAGACTGACACACTTCCCCTCAGAATCACAGAATCCACCTCATCCCCTTTCCTCTCTGCTCTGAACAAACAACTCATCCTTCTAGAACTTTCCAAGGGCTATGGCTCTGTCCCACGAGCTCTCTCGCCTCACCTCCTGACTGTGCAGAGAGGGCCACCAAACAGGTCATCGCTGGCCATACAGCTGGGATCACAGAAGCCAGAAGGCTCAGAGCATCGCCCGACAGCCAGAACCCAGCCCCCTAACTCCCACCCACTCTCCTACCTCTTGGTTAACAGAACAGATTCTCAGGGGCTGTGGGGTCCCCTCTGGGTGACAGAGGAGGGGGAGGGGGCTCAGTGTCAGTTCACAGCTCTCCACAGGCTCCGAGGCCACACAAAAGCTCTCCACAGTGACCCACTGACAGCCCCCCCTCGCTCCTCCTCACCCCACTTCCTATTAAAATGCAGCAGTATCTGGGCCCTATCAAAGGTCCATTCAGCTCAGCTCACACTCTCACTGGCTTACACAAGGGCCTGACTAAACAAATTAGGGAAGTGACATTTCTCTCTGCTCCCTTGCATTCCTGGCACCCTGTCAGGAGATTAAATGCGCACTGGCTTCTAGAACACTGAAGCCTGGTGCAGGGAGAAGCCCCCTGGGTGGGGAGGGCTGTCTCCCAGAGGGCAGCTCACGGTGGCCAGCTGGAAGCGGCCTCTGTGCCCAGCAGGCAGAGGGTGGCCGGGGAGCGGGATGGGCCAGGCAAGCCAGAGCTGTGCTCGTTCCTTTGTGCTTACACTTGTCTACGACCCGGAGCTGCAGCTGTGCCTGCAGCTGTGCCCGGAGCCCTGGCCAGTGCGCTCTGGGCTCCCTCCTCTCCCCTGGGGCACTCCCAGCTCCCCAGGACACCAGGATGCTTGTGAGCAGGACCTGGGCCCTCCTACCCAGCCTTCCCTGTAGGGGGTGGGGTGGGGGGCAACTCCTTGGCTCTTGGCTCATGCCTGTGGACAGTGTAAGGGGGAGACAGGAGAGGCCCACCCCCTCTCCCTCCTGGCCCCAGCTCTGCCTAAAATCTGCCACGAGCCACACAGTCCCAGGCTCCATGCCTTCTCTGGGCATCACGGGGGCAACTGCCCGAGTCCGGGGCTGCTGGCTGGAGTCTGGCTCCTGATCATAAACCTACGTGTGGTCTACGTGTGGGGGCAGCGCCCCCCCCCAACCAGACCCAGTGCACGGCTGGCTGACACACAGCCGTCTCTGAAGGGGGTCAGCCAAGGACTCAGGTGCGCCCTGAGCCATGCTCTCCTATCCCCAGCACCTCCACCCAGAGGCCTCTTTCTTTATGCTGGGGCTCGGGTGCCCGAGCCCGGCCTCAGGCACCTCGCTGAAGCCGTGTTATTAGAGGGAAGAAAGAAGAAACCTCGAAGACACACGATTTAGTATTTTCCCACCACTAGCCCATCCCCCCACCCTACCCACCCAGCGCCCGGGCCCAGAAAACTGCAGCCTTTCCCGTTACAGTCAGAGATGGCCCCACGTCTGCGTGGGTCCACCTGACCCTTGCCCCGGTGCCGCTCTGGGGGAAATATGGGATGGAGAGCCGGAGTGCCTTCTCTGGGTATCTCTTGCTTACACTGTCACAGTAAGTGATTAAGGCCTGGTTGTGACTCGTCTCTGGGCAAGGCGTGGGTTTGGTGGGGCTTCTCATACAAGCCCTCCCTCCTTTCACCCCAGGTAGCTAGGGTAGAACAGATGCAGGCCACCTGGTGGGCTTGTGGCCCCTGAGTGAGCTAGAACCCAAAACCCACTGCCATCGAGTCAATTCCAACTCATAGCCACCCTGCAGGGCAGAGCAGACCTGCCCCATAGGGTTTCCGAGGCTGTAAATCTTTATGGAAGCAGACTGCCACATCTTTCTCCCGTGGAGTGGCTCCTGGGTTTGAACCACCGACCTTTCGGTTAGCAGCCATGCTTAACCACTGTGCCACCAGGGCTCCTTGAAATTCCCTGGTCAATCACGCCGTCCCCCATCACACATACACACCCATACACACCCTCCAGGCACCGCCTCTGTCTCCCTGCATGTGGGGCTGCAGGAGGCTGCCCACGGTCTTTTCTGTCTACTGAGCTGGGATACCTCAAGAGCAAATGCCATGCCTTGCTTTGCATCCCTTGGCACCCGGCAGTGGCAAGTGCCACAGCAGAAACGTCAGCTGAATGAGGGAACAGGCTCCTGCACAGCTAACTTGAGTGTTAGCCCCCTAAAGACCAAACATACCCATGTAGGAGGCCCCCACCTTTTCTTTTACATTTTGAGGCACTATATCCAGAAACAGAAACCCTGGTGGCGTAGTGGTTAAGAGTTCGGCTGCTAACTAGAAGGTCGGCAGTTTGAATCTACCAGCTGCTCCTCGGAAACCCTATGGGGCAGTTCTACTCTGTCCTAGAGGGTCGCTAAGAGTCGGAATCGACTCAACAGCAATGGGCTTGGTTTTGGGTTTACATTCCGGAACATGCACTTTATGTGTTTTAGACTCCATGCGAGTCCAAGCGCCATGGAGGGAAGGCAAGCTCAGTGCCCCTTCCCACGTCCTCAGGGCCGGGAAGGGGGCAAAGGAGGGGCTTCTGAAAGGGAGGGGACTCCTCCAGCCAGATCTGGTCAATTCCCAGACTCGGGGTCACTAAGACCTTACAAGCAGTGCTGGGAAGTGGCCAGTGGGGTGGGAAAGGGACCAGGCTTCGGGTGTCTTATCTGGGGCAAGTCATGTCCTTTCTCTGGGCCTGTTTCCCCATCTGTAAGGCACAGGGGCTGGACCAGATGGTCCAAGCCCCTCCACTTCTGAGATTCCAGGCTAGGGACTGTGGCTGGAAGCTGGCCTGGCTCTGGACTGTGGGCACAGTTTGGCCTTTTGTCTCTGGGTTCTGAAAACAGCCTGAGCAATTAAGGTGTTCTTTGTCTTTCTGAAACAGCCAGGCCACACTTAAACATGTGCAAATGAGCTGGGAGGGCCCAAGTCATCACCATGGCAACAAACCTCAGAAAGGGGAGGGGACGTGATGAGGCCTCCAACACCCCCACCCACCCTCTGACGCCTCACGTTTGCCCAAGTAGCTCGGCACCCGGCTTCGCTCAACTGCCCCATAGGGTTTCCCAGGCTGAAATCTTTATGGAAGCAGATCACTAGTTCTTTCTCCCGTGGAGCTGCTGGGTGGGTTTGAACAGCCAACCTTTTGGTTAGCAGCCAAGTGCTTAAGAATCACACTACCAGGGCTCCTCACCAGGGCTGTAGGGTATACAAGTGGCACCAGATGGGAGAATGAGTAGCGTAAGTGTCTAGCACACCTAACTAGGCCTACCTGGTCAGACGAGACCAGCAGAACGAGGCCCCCCCTTTTTAAGTCCCTCATCCACGGCACAGAGTGGGGTACGCGTGGGAGTTGTCATCTCTCTCAGATAGGCTTCTCAAGTTGGGGGGATGCTCAAAAAATGGATCCAATTTGTTCTGGTATGCTGTCTGCTTCCTGTTGTAAAAGCTAGTTTCCATGTGTTAACACTCTGGAGGAGAAGCCCTGGTGGCGCAGTGGTGAAGAGCTCGGCTGCTAACCAAAGGTTGGCAGTTTGAATCCACCAGCTGCTCCTTGGAAACCCTATGGGACAGTTCTATCAGTCCCATAGGGTCGCTATGAGTTGGAATCAACTTGACAGCAAAGAGTAACGCTCTGGAAGCTTCCGGTGTGTTCAGGCTCCGATTGGAAGGACGTTCACCGAGCGATCACATTTCGTGATTGGTTCCCTTTTCCTAACAGTCTCCTGGCGATTTGGAAGTTGGGGACAACCTGTGAGCGCCATGCAGTTTTGGCATGATGTCCTGCAGGGACACCCCACTAGACAGGCCATCTGGCTGACCACCTACCATCCGCAGCCCCATGTCCCCAACTCACCACTGCGGCGGCGGTGTCCACGGCCAGGGAAGCCCAGCTGAGCAGCAGGGTCAGCACCCCGCAGCACAGCATCCTGGAAGAGAGGCAGCGCTGATGGAATTCTGGTGGAGGCTGGTGGGCAGGGGAGAGTCTGTGACTGCTGTCACCCCAAGGACCTCCAGTGACACTGGGGCTTGAGGGATGCCCTTCCCCCAGCCTGATCCTACCCTCCCTGCCCCCAGACTCCTGCAGGGTTCCAGAGGCAGCCTTGGCCCCAGCCATCACCGTCAGCCTTATTAGCTGCTGGAAGAGCCATAAGGTACCCCTGCCTGGAGCATACGTCCCTGGGCTAAAGGGACACAGCTGGGTGGTGCAAGCTGAGAAGGACGGGGCAGGTTAGAAAGGTCAGAGGCTCTAAAGTTCCTGCTGCGTTTCTTCAGATGCTCAACAGAGTTAGACTCAGGGTGGGGGCGGGGCGCACATGGGGGTCAGCTCAGTTCTTGCTGACCACTTGGGCTCTGGAGAGCAAGTTGGTGGGCTGCTGTCTCTCCTTGCTGGGGCTGAGGAGGGGATAGCAGGTGGCTCTGGCAGCCTGGCTGCCCCTTGCCCTTACCCTCTGAGCCTGGCCAGACCCTCATGTCTCTGTCCCTCTCTCACGCTTGCCCAGGAGGCCCAGGGGCAGGCTACTCACGAGGCCAGCAGACACTTGGAGTGCTTGGCCAACCCCAGGCAGGCGGTGAGGCAGATGACCACGTCCAGGACGAAGAGCAGGAGGTAGGAGAGCCACCTGTGGGGAGGAAAGGGCAGTCAGGGGGCGCAGTGCAGAGCTCCCCACCTGCTGCCCACTGTGGAGGCCTGGAGAGCAGTCCCCAGGCCGCTTTGACCCCTCCTGACAGCAGAGTGCCCAAGCCAGCAGCTCAGCAGACTAGGCCAGGGCACATTCCCCGCCCTGAGCAGGAAGGACCCAGCATGCTTGGTCTGAGGGTCTTCTGGGGCCCCACTCCCATTTCTGCCCGGACAAAGGGACTCCGCCATCTCCCTGCCTTAACTTCCCGGCTTAGTGTCCAAACCAGTGCCAGCCAATAGAACCTGAGGCAAGGATGGACAGGTTCTATATCTGCACTGCCCAATTCATAGCCGCTACCTGCATGTGACTTTTGAGAACTGGAACGTGGCTTGTGTAACTCAGGAAATAACGTTGGGTTTACTTTGATTAATTGAAATTTAATAGCCACATGTGGCTGGTGGCTACCACAGGTCTAAACCGTCTCTGCAGCCTCCAGCAGGCATGTCCTTGGACCGGCTCCCTCTGCTTCTAGAACTGTCTGTGGCTTCAGAACCAGGCAAGGTAGGACATGCATATCTGGAGATGTAAGAAAGGCTCCTGCGATGTCCAGTCCTTTGCCAGAATCTCCGCCTGGATTCCCCAAGGCCTCCCGTCTTGTCCTCCTAGCTGTCTGGGATCAACCATTTAAGATACTGCAATCAACATTTGTGCCTACACTGAGCTTGGCAGCAGCGATGCCCAGAGAAGTGGGCTCACCCCCAGATCATCAAGGTGCTTGTGATGGGGCAGGGGAGCCCAGGGCAGCCCCAGGGCCTCGATGTGAAGAGGCACACTCAGCCACCAGACCTTCCAGCCCCACCCTCCTCTGGCCTTTTTACCTGGGATGGAATGCATTGTATCCCCCCTCACCAAAAAAAAAAAAGTTACGATGTCCTAACCCCTGTACCTGTGAACGTGACCCTGTTTGGAAATAGGAGTTTTCTTTTTTTTATCTTAATGAGATCATACCAGATTTGTGTACTGTTGAGCCGATTCCCACTCATAGCAACCCAATAGAACAGAGGAGAACTGCCCTATAGGGTTTCCTAGGCTGTAATCCATACGGGAGCAGATTGCCAGGTCTTTTCTCTCACAGAGCTGCTGATGGATTCAAACCACCGATCTTTCCATTAGCAGACCTTTCAGTTAGCAGTCCAGCGCTTAACCAGGGTCCCAGGCTCCTGCACAGCCAACAGTCCCACCTGTGAACTTGCTAGAAATGCAGTTTCTCAGCCCAGCCCCTGCCCTACTGAATCAGAAACTCTGGAGGTGGGCCCAGAGACAGGTGTTTTAACAAGCTCCCCAGGTGATTCTGATGCCTGCTCAAGTTTGAGACCCTCTGAGAGGGGATGTCATCTTTACTAAGGGAGCAGATCACCAGCTCTTTCCTCCTGCGAAGTTGCTGGGCGGGTTCGCGCTGCTGACCTTTTGGTGAGCAGCTGATTGCTTAAACATTGAGCCACCAGGGCTCTCATATCACACTAGGGTGGTACTACTCCAAACCTAACAGCAGCTAAGTGGCACAAATGGTTAAGTGCTCAACTGCTAGCCAAGTTTGGTGGTTTGAATGTACCCAGAGGCGCCTTGGAAGACAGGCCTGGCAATCTGCTTCCTAAAGGTCACAGCCTTGAAAATCCTATGAGTAGCTTTCCTTCGCACACATGGGGTCTCCATGACAGCAGCTAACAACAAGAACTCTACATCCAATCCCTTCTAAAAAGAGCAGACCAGACAGACACACACAAAGGTGGAAAAGATCAGGTGACGGACCGTCTACAAGCCAAGGAATGCCGGGGGCTGCCGAAAGGAGGGATTCTCCCCTAGAGCCGATGCCCTCATTTGGACTTCTAGCCTCCAAAATTGTAAAACAACGCATTTCTTTAAAGCTACGCGCCCCCAACACCCTTTTAACTCCCCCAGACACCCTTTTAACTCCGTACTGAAGTCACTCCCGAGGTTCACCCTTCAGCCAGATTAGACAGGCCCATAAAATGAGACTAAATGGGCACACCAGCCCAGGGGCAAGGACAAGAAGGCAGAAAGGGACAGGAAAGCTGGTAATGGGGAACCCAAGATCGAGAAGGGGAGAGTGTTGACATGCTGTGGGGTTGGCAACCAATGTCACAAAACAATATGTGTATTCATTGTTTAATGAGAAACTAATTCGCTCGGTAAACCTCCATCTAAAGCACAATTAAAAAAACAACAAAAAAGTCTACCCACTTATATGTTTTGTTACAGCCACACTAGGTAACTAAGATCCCCTCAGGGCTGATGGGAGAAGGCAGACACACATCTGCTGGACATCTGGATAAGTCACCTCACCTTTTGAGCCTCAGTTTCCTCATCCGTACAGGAAGCTGGAACTCCTCAGCTCCCAGGGCTGGGGTGCGGACTGCATGCTTGATCAACACACAAAGGGAGATACGTCCCTCTCTGTGGCTTCTCCAAAGCAGGCTGAAGAATGAGGAGGACTTCAAGCCCGTGGGTGCTGAGAAGATCCAAAACAAACCACTCTCCTCTCTTTCCCTTCCAAAGAGAATTTCAAGGCCACCTCATCTAGCTGCTCCTTCCACTGTGCTGCTGATGCCTGGGCCAGCCCGAGGAGGGGCCGAATGGAGGCCAGGGCAGGGTGGGAGCTGAGACAGGGCACTTCCCCCGGTCACAAAGGAACAGAGTCTTTTGATCATGATTTCTCTTGATGCAAGAGCCAAATACATTCTTCGACCCCTCCTCTCCACCAACGGCTCTCTGCTTCACTAACACCATAAAACCAAATACCTGCTGACGTCGAGTTGATTCGGACTCACAGTGACCCTACAGGACAGAGTAGAACTACCCCATAGGGTCTTCAAGGAGCAGCTGATGGATTCGAATCACCGACCTTTTGGTTAGCAGCCAAACTCGCAACCACTGTGCCACCAGGGCTCCAAGCACCATAAAGCAGGTGAGAAAGAGTTTGGACAGTGGGTAGGGAGTGGGGTGGAGCTCGAAGAACTTTGCAAAGAGGCCAGAGGGGGAGGAAGCAGGCTGGAACCCACCCAGCAGCCCAGAGAGGTTCTTTTCACCTTTATGAATTGGGACTTCAGGCCAAAAGAAAGGGCCTAACCAAGATCCTCGCCCCTAGCACAGGACGGGGCAGGGTCTACCGTGGACACCTGGGGTGCCCAGGAAAGGAGTTAGTTGCTCTCCACTCCGATGAGGCCACCAATGAGCAGTTTCCTTAGGACCTGGACGGAACCTTGGGGCCATCTAGTGTTAGGATCCCATTCTTCAGATTGGAAGACTGAGCCTGTTCCAGGGTTTGCAGGCTCCCCATCCAGAGCTCTCCCTCCACAGACACAGCCAGCCAAGAAGTTGCTCTCAAAACCCTGGCTTCACATTTCAAACCTAAAGATGTCTTTTCTCCTCTCTCCCCTACACTTAACAGCAGCAGGAAATCAAGTTAGGAGTGCGTCTAATCCACTTAGCACGTTTGTGTCTCAATGCGTTTCTCCACACCCACGCCTCCTGTTGTAATGGGTTCCTGGAAACAGCTCTGCTTCTCCCAGGGAAGCTCGGCGATGCTAACCAAGAACTTGGCTCTGCCCGAGCTGCTCCGCCCTCACTCCCTGGCACCTCCCACATCCATGCTTTTTTCCACCTGATCAGTATACACGCCTTGGCCCCCCCGGAGTACAAGCCTTTTTGAAGATGGTTGTCTGCAGGCTTTTTATCTCTTACAATACTTAGCCAGACCTTGTGCAAAAGTACATACCTGGATGGCTATGCTCAAGAATCATCTGGAAAGCAAAGATGGGAGGTCTTCCAGAGGAGATGCAGCCCCAAACCCTGCTCCATGAATAAAGCCTTTACTCTAAGGCAGCTCAGGTGAGAGAAAGAGTGTGCAAACCAGGGCTTTGAACTGGTTCGTTCCGGTCTGACGCCCTGCTGAGAATTTGCATTTCCACCCCAGATATACTGAAGCAGAATCTACAGTCTAACAAGATCCCCAGGTGATTCTTATAGATCCCCAGGTTTATGCATAAGGTATATACATAAGAGTCACCTGGGGATCTTATTAAAAGGCAGATTGTGCTTCAGGGTATCTGGGGTGAAATGCAAATTCTCAGCAGGAGGCTGAACATGAATGAATTGGTTCGAGGCACAAAATATCCTCTATTTTCAGGAGCCACAAGGTGCCAATCTTGGAACAGACCTTGTCTGCTTAAACTCAAACAGAGGATGAGGAGCTAGGGGATGGGAGTCACAGGGGACCCCCTCAGCCACCCATACTAAAACAGCTGCTGTGCGGTTATCACCACCTCTCCTGCTTTTAATAAAACCCACTTAAATGCTACCTTCAGCCCTAAAATGTGCATGGTCCAATGCCAGGTGCCCCCAGAGAGAAGGAGAGGGTCAACACAGACAGCTGCTTCCTATCCCTCTACACCCCAATGACAGATTTCACAGCCTCAGGCAATGAATGGCCCGTGTCACAGAACTACCAGGTACCAGTGTTGTGAGTCACAGGAAGGCACAGACAGCCCTTAACTTTTGTAGTTTCTTTCCGTCCCTTGGGAGAAACTTTTGCACATGAGCATCCACTTGGCAGGACGCTGGACTAAGGTCCCCTTCAGTCAAGACTGTCCGTGGCATCCTGGAAGTGCAGGGCAGGATGGGCTGGGAAGGCGAGACAAGGGGCTCCAGCCAGAGCCTTGGGGTCCTGAGCTTCCCCTCCTCAGGGCCCTGCCATCTCCTACCTTCTAGGCCAGGGCAGGGCAGGGCTAGGGAGGACCAAGAAGATGGTGGAAGCTGCTGTCCATGGGACACAGGAGAGGTTCTGAAAGTTGGGTCCCTGACAAGCTGCATCAGCACCATCTGGGACCTTGCTAGAAATGTAAATTCTCAGCCCTGCTGTCAGAAACTCTGGACGTGGGGCCCAGTGCTTTATGGTTTAACAAGCCTTCCAGGTGATTCAATGAGCCCTAATGACAACAGGGGAACTTCCCAGTTTGGGCCCGGAGATGCAGGCGTGGATGGAGAAAGTCAGTGCACCCCGGCCCCTCCCCTCCGCCTCACACGGCCCCTCACCTGTAGTACTCCACGTAGCCGGTCTGGTCGGCCACCTTGGTCAGCTCGGCGGTGACGTCCCTCCACGCCGGCAGCCCCGAGAGCTGGCCCATGATGTTGCCGGCCATCTGCTGCATGAGCTTCAGGGTCTGGATGTAGTCACCGCGGGCTGCGAAGATCTCACTGAGCCGGGCCAGGTGCTGCTCCAGGTCCAGCTGCATCTTCTGGGTGGTGCCAGAAACCTACAGAGGGGCAGGGGAAGGGGTGAATCTGGCCCTCTAGGTGAGAGGAAGTGAGCGAGTAGAGCCCCTGGCTCTAGCTCTGGGGAAGAAGGTCTTTGCGGGGGCAGAAGACGGCTGCCCGGGTGTGAACGAATGACCGCTCACCCCCAGCCCCATGGAGCCTAGGAGCCTGTAGCCCCAGGGAGGAGGGAAAGTAGAGGCCCTGTCACCCAGCCAGCCCCTCACAGCTCTCAATCCTGGGGGGCAGGCCCTGATCTGGCCCCCACCTGGGCTCCAGAGTCTTTCTATAAATAGAGACCAGGAAGGGAAAACAAACAAAATAACCCTTTTTTTCCTTGAAAGTTTTCTTAAAACTTTAAACTCCTTGGATGATGAATTCTTTTTTAGAATGAAGAATAACAGGTTTAAACTGAAGAGTTCCTCTGTTGCTACGTGACCTTCTAGCCCCACGAAAGGATTGCTAAATGCCCTAGAAGAGAAAGGCTTTGTTGCAGAGCTAGCAGCAGCTCAGAGCTTCCCATGCACAACAATCCAACGCTGAAATAACAGATCTGGTCCGTCTCTGAGGAGCCTGGGCATTTGACAGCAGGAGGAAATCAGGGCCTTCTCTGCATGCTCTGCCCCACCTTCCCCCCACCCCCCACAGCCCCGCCGGCGTCTGTCCTGCCAGATGGGTGAACAGGTTCCTGTCCCCTGGCTGGACTTTAAGGGCTTAGAGCCGAGTGGCCCCTGAAGAAAGTACCTGTCTATTCAGAGGGAGGGATGGAAGGGACAGTGGCTGTGACTGTCCTTAACTGGTTTGCAAACAAGGCATACAGGTGGGGCTTGGTACTACAGGATTCTGGGAAAGGTGGTATTTAAATGAATGAAGCAGGGTTTTGAAAGCCTCAAAGCAAAGTAAATCGAATCAGTCGCCATTGAGTCGATTCCAACTCACAGTGACCCTGTGCATGTCAGAGTAGAACTGTGCTCCGTAGGGTTTGCAATGGCTGATGGTTCAGAAGTAGATCACCAGGCCTTTCTTCCGAGGCGATTCCGGGTGGACTTGAACCTCCAACCCTTTGGTTAGCAGCTGAGTGCATTCACTGTTTGCACCACCCAGGGTCTCCCTGGGCTTGGTACTAGAAAGGAGCTTTCAAGTCATCCAGACCCTGGGTTCCCACGGGGCCTGGGGACACAGGCCGGAAACCCCAAGCATGTCCCTCCTGAGCCTGCACAGGGCCTGCGTATCGGCTGCGAGGGAAAGAAGGGCTTTGTTGTTCTGACCTGTCACACGCAACCAAGGAGCACAACTGGCGGGGGGAGGTGCTGAGCCTCAGCCGGCAGCCTTCGTACGACAAAAACGCCACAGGGACAGCTCAGCAACGAGGCCAAGGCCGATGAGCTAACGCTGCCGGAGGCCAGCTCTGGGTTCGCTGTTAGGGGGACTGAACACTGAGGTTGTGGCCTTTCACATCTGTTTCACGCTCTAAGCTCCTGATGCCAGGAAAGAGAATGGCTCTGTGTGTTGTTTTTCAACGTCAGCGGCTGCTTTCCTCTTCCTGCTTGCATCTGGTTCTTCAAAGCTTGTGAAAGGCTAAGAGATGCCAGCGACCTTGCAAAGTGCAGGGGCGTGCAGCTTCACAAAGGGGGAAGCATGTAAAAGTAAACTCAGTAACTAAATTAAAACAAACAAACAAACCACTGCCCTCGAGTCAATTTGGACTCATAGCGACCCTATAGGGCAGAGTAGAACTGCTCCATAGGGTTTCCAAGGCTGTAATCTTTACGGGAGCAGATGGCCAGGTCTTTCTCCTATGGAGCTGACCTTTTGGTTAGCAGCGGAGTGCTTAACCACTGTGCCACCAGGGCTCCTCTAGTAACTAAATATCATCCTGATAAACTTTTCCTTCTTGATGTAGTAAGTCAATGCGTGTACAAGTGCTTTGTACCCATATGATACAAAGGGCACTATTATCAAACTACATCATGAGCCAACCAAGTAATACGTGTTATTTTTATGTATCTCTATTATATCAAGAGTCCTTGGGAGGTGCAAACGGTAACGTGCTTGGCTGCTAACCAAAAGGTTGGAGGTTCAAGCCCACCCAAAGGTGTCTCGGAAGAAAAGTCTGGTGACCTACTTCTGAACAATCAGCCACTGTACACCAACAAGTCCACTCTGACAAACATGGGGGTTGCCGTGAGTTGGAATCGACTGGACGGTGACCGCTTTGTATATCAAATGAACTTTAGAGCAAAGAGCTTTGAAAATTATCTTCAAACTTTCTCCATAAGACCACTTTTTTTTTCCTTTCCTAACTCCAAATTTTTAACTTTTCTACTTCTTAAAACCCAACTTGAAAAAGCAAAAGGCATTAAACGTCTGTCAGCCTCTCTCCTTCCTCCTGATGTCTTCCCACAGGAAACAAAACGAAGTAACAAAAAATTATAATCACAAAATGGACCTTCTTTCTCTCAGCTCTCCTCCTTCTCCTCCTCCCCCATTCCTTAGGGATTCCAGTACACAGCACTCCCCGCTAGGAGACACAGGTGGAGTGGTGCCAGATGTGGAGCCCGCCTTGCTCCTGCAGAGAACCAGTAGCTGTGAGAAGGAGAGGAGGAGTTGGGCCTTCTTCTAGGCTGGGGCAGGCTTAGGGAGGAGCAAGAAGATGGTGGAAGCTGTTATCCCATGGGACACAGCAGTGGTTCTCAGAGTGACGTCCCCAGTAGCAACATCAGTTGTTGTCTGCCGTTGATTCTGACTCATAGCGACCCTATAGGACAGAGTAGAACAGCCCCAGAAGGTTTCCTAGCTGTAATCTTCATGGATCGGGGCCCTGGTGGTGCAGTGGTTAAGTGTTCGGCTGCTAACCAAAAGGTTGGCAGTTCAAATCCACCAGGCGCTCCTTGGAAACCCTATGGGCCAGTTCTACTCTGTCCTATAGGGTCACTATGAGTTGGAACCGACTTGACGGCAATAGGTTTGGTTTCGGTTTTTTAAAATCTTTATGGGAGCAGATTGCCAGGTATTTCTTCCACAGAGGCGCTGGGGGGTTCGAACCACCAAACTTTCAGTTAGCAGCCCGGCACTTAACCCTGCGCCCTGTGGTTCCTGCACAGCTAGAGCACCTCCCACCTGTGAACCTGCTAGAAAGGCAGTTTCTCAGCCCAGCCCCAGCCCTACTGCACCAGAAACTCTGGAGGTGGGCCCCAGCCCTCCAGGTGATTCTGATGCCTGCTCAAATTTCAGAACCTCTGAGCGAGGCCAATTCTCAACTCAAGAGGTGCTCAGGGGAGGGCAGACGGGGCAGGAGATGAGGTGGCAAGCTTCTGGGAGCTGAGGGGAGGGCTGGATCTCAGATTCAGGAAGGTAAGCGGTTGGAGAAACCCAGGATTAAGACCTGGGTTCCCGCCCTTGCTCTGAAACGTACCAGCTTTCAACCCTGGGACAGAAGCTTCTCCTTCCTCAGGGAGGCTCTCTGTGTCTCAGTTCATCTCAGGCTGCCCACAGGCCTGCTGTGGACTCAACGTGGGCGCCTGAGAGGACCCACCTGTCCACTAGTAAGTATGGCACAAACACGCGGCGAAGCTCCAGGGGTGGCTGAGAAAGCTGAGACCCTGAGGGGTTAGGGGCTTGCCCGGGCCCTCTTCACCGTGTGGGCAGTTGGGGTGCTGGATCCACAGAAGGGACCCTCGGACTTTGCCAACCCCTGGGCTCCAGCACTCCCAAATGACCCCTTTGTAACCTCCCAATTCGAGTGTGCAGGTCGGCCTGAGCCTCTACCCACTGCCTGGCCCACTGAGGCACAAGCCTCTCGGGTAGAAAGGCGCAGGCGTGGGGCTGGGGGTCCAGGAAACGGGAGGGCAGAGGAGGGTCCACCCACTGTGTGCTGGATGCAGCCCCAGAAGGCCTCTTGCTGGCCACCTGATCTGGGCCCCCAGGATGGCCCAGGTCTAAGTCGGCCTGACCAGTCCCATGAACCCCCTCACTCTGCCGCCCACCAGACCATCCCCAATCCAAGCCTCCTCTCAATTGCAGGATGATTATAATAATTAGGATAATGGCTCTCATTACTGTAATTACCCCCATTTGGAGCCTACTTTGTAGTTTACGAGGCGCTTTCACCGACATTATCTCATTTAGGATCATTTATCTGCTATTTGGCCTTCACCCTCAGAGCTGGTCCAGCGCCCTGCCTGGGCCCGGGGTGGGGGGCCGTCATGGGGCTGGAAGCAGCCGGAGGCCCTGGGACTCCTGCATTCACTCTTCAGTCTTGGCGGAGAGAGGACAAGGGCTGATCTCAGAACTTGCCGGGCCCCTCCCTGTGGGCACACGGGGGCTTCAGACATGGGGCTTGCTGTGAAATGTCCAGACTTAGCCCCAGAGCCCTTCCAGGCCTAGGGGCAGATGGGCCCAGCTGGGGGTCTCGTTCCCAACTGGTCTTCCTGCATAATTCTCACCCACAGGGATGAAGACTCTGAGCTCTTGCTTTCCCATCCCAGTGGCTCTGAGAGTTTCTCAGTCCCTGGGGAGATGCAAAAGGTTTAAGCTCGACTACTAGCCTAAAGATTGGTGGTTTGAACCTACCTAGTGGTGCTATGGAAGAAAGGCCTGGCAATCTGCCTCCGTAAAGATTACAGCCAAGAAAACCCACTCTGTTAACTCGTGGGATCTCCATGAGTCAGAATTGACTCAGCAACAGGTTTGGTTTTGGTCTGGGGAGACAAGGACCACCCCTATAATTGTCACAAGTTAGAAAGTGAAGGTCACACCACTGGGGCTTCCCAGGCACAGGACTCTCCCATCTGTGCTGTGTTCCTCCTTGAGGGTTCTGGCGGGGGTGGGTGGAGAAAAAGGGGGAGGCCAGACACAGCCCAAAGGGCAGTAATTATGGAGCCCCTCCCCCCAGGGCCCAGGCATGGGTGGCGACATCCAGGCGGTGAGTCCCCTCTGGCCCCGAGCCAGGTGATATCCACACCTCCAGGACTCATCAGGCCCATGTCAGTCCCTGTGTCAGCTCCTCCATCCCAGCTGCCCTGCTCGCGCCCCAGCGTCCTCATCTTCCAGGGTGGGCAGGGGGTCCCAGTGGACACAGGAGACCTGCCCCCTGCTCTGCCCCTGACCCTCAGCCCCAGGAAGGGCTCCCTGGGGCCAGAGACAGCCTGTGTCTTTAAGGTGAGTCACTGAAGGGAGCGGCTGACCGAGGGATCAAAGTCTTTGAGCCGCTTAGCGCAGAAGCTCAAAGGAGGTCGGATCCTCTTCCAGCAAATGCCAGGGCTGAGGATCCTTGACACAAAGGGCCACGTGCTGGGGCTGTCACCCTCTGCTGGGGATCTGGTCCACAGAGGACCTGGGAATAGCGTGTACGGCCAAGGACTGGTGTCCCTGAAAGCTACCCTTTGCCGTTCCTACCAAAGCCTTGCTTCCAAGGGAGCACCAGGGCTGCCACGGGGCCACCTGGAAAACTGGCCCAAAAGACCCTGCAGCTATGGTGCAGGCAACATGTACCGGGCGGAGGGCTGAGGTCAGCATCTGAGGAAACCATGGCTCCCTGCCCTCTGTCACTATCCCTCTGGCCAGAGGCTCAGCAAGGTAGCCCTTTCCTTCCTCCGGCCAGCCCAGCACAGTTTTGTACTTGAGCCCCAGCTGGAGTTGAGGCCCCAGAGCTAGAGCCCAGGTTTGGGGTTCAGGCTGTGCACGTGGGGCTTTTTACCTGGTTCTCCTTTGGCAAGTGAGAACCTGTCCCGCTCCTGCAAATGACGGGATTTGACCTGGGCGCCCTCCACCCCTCCAGGACTCTCTTTAGTCCTCCCTCCCACCCCTGCCACTGCTCTCAGCTGGGGAAGCAGAAAGCGCCCGTTCACTCCTGGTGTGGGACACTGTGGCCCAGAGGGACATCAGCATCACACAGGCCTCAGTGTTGGAGCCGCCACTGGCAGGGGCCTAACTGGGGAGCCCTTGTTCAGGCTGCACTGACCTCCTGGACTGTGGCCAGGCCCCGCCAGCTGCCCACGAGCCTTACCAGAGAATCGATCCCGGAGAAGGTGTGGTTGGCGTTGTCCAAGGAGTAGATCAGCTGGTACACCCCATCGTTGGTCTCGCTGTTTCCATAGAAACCAACGCCCACAGCAGCACTATGGGCAAGACCCCAAACAAAAGTTAGAGGTGACACCAGAGGGGGACAGGTTAGTGACTTTAGCTGAAGAACCCTTTCCTGGGGGGCAGGGATGATGGCTAAACCTCTGGGAGGTGGGGTAGCAGGGGGTGGGGCAGCACAGACACATGGCAGCAACCAGCTGGTCCCCAGGCTCTGGTCCACTCACTTCGTAGCACGTTTCATGCAGGTAACAGGAAAATACTACTGTCTTCTAGTCCAGTGGCTCTGAAAGGTGGGAGATTGCAGGTCCTGGCCCTAGAGATTTGGACACAGCAGGTCTGCGTGGAACCCATACTTTCCACCACCTTCCAGGTGATTCTGACACACAGGTGGCCTTGGAAAGGGCTGATGTCCAGTAAAATCACACACCAGGTGCCCTACTGGGTCTCTCCTGACACCTCCAGGAACAGGGAACTCTCCCTCTCCATTCTCCACCACTTCTCCCATTCGCCACGCCGTCCACGGGGCAGCCTGTTCTTGTGCTGAAGGATCCCAGCTGCTAGAAAGTTCCTTCTGAAACTGCGCTGCAACCCACCTCCTAAACTCACACACCATGGAGGCAGCCCAGAATATATCTCCCATCCACATGACACCCCTCAGACCACCGTATGTGGCTCCCACGTCACCCTTTACTCTCCTGCCGTCCATGTTGGACACACATCCTCCTTCTGGGTAAGGTCTCCAGACCCTTCTGACCTCATCACCACCCTCCAGACTCAACTCTCTTGAATTGGCCCACATCCCTCTTAAGCCTGGCCTCTGTGTGAAGCGCCAAAGCCCAGGCTGTCTATCTAGCTCCATGCACAGGGGGACTAATTAGTTATGCCTGAGGACCACGTGAACATGGCCTGTGTGTGTCCTCGCCCAACCTTGTGGTCCACGACCAGCCCTAGATTTGTTCACATGAACTGCTGTGAAGCTGGCTTCTCCTCCAGCCTCTCGTGTGTATTGATTTTTTTTTTTTAAATAAAAGCAGAACTTTCAATCTCTTCCTGTTAAATTCCATCTGGTTGGCTTCAGCCCAACATTCCAGGCTGAACGAAGCACTTCAAATCCCAACTCCGCCACCTATCATATTTTATCTGACCCATACCACTTGGGGTCATCCGAAGATTTAAGAATCAGCCTCCTGGGTTTTCATTCAGCACGCTAAATTTTCTGGGGGAAAAAAATGAATACACACATGCATGTATTTATACTTTCTCTTTTCTTTTTTTATAGGAGAGGATATAGGATGGAGTCTTCTGGAAGGTTGTTAGAGACTTCCTTCTAGGCCCCTAATTTAGTGTTTCCCAGGGAGTAGTCCCTGGACCCTAGAACAGAATCACCTGTGGTCCCTGTTAAAAAGGTGTGGATAAGTGGGCTCTGTCCTGAACCCACTGAATCAGCATGGTCTGGGAACGAGCACTTTAAAACAAGGTTCCAATGAGCTTCATCTGCCTGTGTGTGTAAATACAGATACACGGACTAGGCAAAGTAGACGGAGTCATAGACATAGACTAGACGTACAATAGACTTAGATATAAGAGACATACACTAGACATACATAGATCAGACACAGATATAGACCAGAGACACAGAGTCGACAGAAGACACACACTCACATACACACATCTGTGATTTGCCATCCACAGTGTTCTCTGGATTCAGCCAGTGTTGTTTAACCAGCTTGGAATCCACTTAACTGCAGCATCATCCAGCCCATATTTCTCTGTCTAGCCTACAGGGATACTGTGAGGAACTTTTATCAAATGCCCAGCTGAAAGTTTAACATATTAAATTGATTATATTTCCATGTCCTCCATTTTGTAACTTTATTAAAAGAGAAAATTATTTGTATCGTGACCTGAAAAAGACCTTCTGTTGGCTCCTTGTGCCTATAACTTCCTCTTCTAATTAGCTGTTTCATGATCCAGTCTTTTCTGGGGACTCCACACAGAGCCGAGGCTTTTCCATTCATCTAAGCCTCCCTGGGCATTCTAGGTTTCCGTGCTTCTCCTAGTCTTTGGATTTATCGGAGACAGCCCATGAGTGGCTGCGAGATGGCTCTGGTCTCCCAGGACCAGATATCACCCTGGCAGCTCAGTGAGGGCCCCTCTCAGCCCTCTCCTGCCTGTGCACATGGAAGACTACTCTGCTTGCCTGCAAAGAAAACGAATAGGCTGGGAGGCTCCGCCTTCTCTGTTACGACAACACCACTATCTTTCTCAAATATAGGATCATGGTCTGCCCTCCCCCCAAAACAGAGGACAAGGATGTCTTCTCTTATCCAGTCTCCCTGCCCCTTCTGTCTTTTCAGGAACCTCTTGTCCATACTCTCTTCTCTGTGTTGAATCTCCCCCTTCCACTGGGTGCCTGTTATGCTCAACCAAGCTCTCTCCCATCTTAAATTCCCACACCTTTGACCCTCCATCCCTTCCCCTCCTGCCCTCTTTCTCTACTCCCTCCCCCCTCTTCTTTTTTCTCGGCCCCCTCTCCCTCAACTCACTCCAATCTGACTCCTTCTCCTATATCCTGGTGAACACAGTTTCAGCCAAGGTGACCAATGATCTCTAGGCCACTCATTCTGATGGCGTTTTCCAACCCCTGTCTTACCTGGCTGATTATGACACTGGACGGGGCAGCTCTCCCTCTCCCTAAACCCCTGCCCCAGGGCTCCTGTGACCTTGTAGTTTCCCCTTTTGCTACCTGGCCATGACATGATGTACTTCAAGGCCTGGCCCTGGGTCCTCTTCTGTCCCCACTCTTTGCTTTTCCTGGGGCAGATCTCACCTGGATCCATGGCCTGCACACCATCTACTCTACAACTCTCAGATTTATAACTCCAGCCCTGGGTTTCCACTGGCGTCCCTGACATTCCCACTTGGAGGTTTCAAGGCATCTTAAACTCAGTCTGTGATCTTCTCCCTCTTCAGGTTCTCTGTCAGGTCCCACACCTCAGCGGGTGTGCCACATCTTCCATCCAGGTGCTTAAGCCAGAAACCTGGGGGTCAACCTTCAGGAGCTCCTTCTCCCTTCCTCCCATCCGGCTCATCATCACATCCATCCGCCTATCCTTTTGTCCATGGCCCATGCCCAGAGCAAGCCCCACGCTGGCCTGCTCTTGACAGGAGATTTTTAACCCCATAGTGACCTGTCAGGAGTTCCTCTGTTGGAGTTCTTAAACTCCAGCTTGAGTTGGCCCTTGAAGTTTATTAGTTAAGCCCAGGCCACGTGTCTGCCTGAGCCCCAGAGCCCATCATGTGCTAGATGCTTCATCACTTCTACAACACAGCTTCGGGCTCCTCCCTGCCTGTGGCTTGGATAATCTTTACACCCCAGGCAGGTCGGCAATGACAAACGTGCCCTGCTGGATGAGTGAGCGGAGGCCAGCGAGGTGATGAGCCCCTCTGGGCTGAGAACTCGGCCGCCTGCATGCCCAGGTTCACGGGTCTGTTCCTGCTGCACCTTCACTGCCAAGGGCAGTGACATCTCCTGTTCAGGTTCTCAGACACGACACACACGTGGGAGTGAGGGTCTCTAACCCTAGAGAGCCACCACGCCCTAGGAGGGTCTCAGAGTGACACTAACCTTTCAGAAAAGCCTCTGTAGATACCCAAACAAGAAAAACGCAGCAGCTCCTGCAAACGGACTCAGCTTGGGCATGGGCACCCCTTCTTCCCAGGTAGGGTGACTGGGAGTCAGGAGCCCTCACCTCCTTGTCGAAAGCCAAGAGCGGGCTAATGGCACTAAAAATTAATGACCTCATGTGAAGATGGAAGTGATGTGGCCTGGAGTCAGACTTCCCTCTGAGCTCGGTGACCCGGGTGGCAGCTGAGAGGGGGCAGGGGCAGAGATGCCCACTGTCCAGAACTGCTGCCAGGTGAACCTTGCAGGGAGCTCCCTGCCTGGGCTGGACAAGCCCACCCGAGGGCAGGGCTGGGGAGGCCCTGGCATCTCACTCCTGTTGCTTGGCAAGAAAAGGGCCAGCATTCGCTCTAGGGATAAGTTCTCCCACCGAGGTGCCTGGAGTCGGTCAGAAGGGTGTGGCCACTGGAGGCTTGTCAGGAAGAAACGGGTGGCACTCACAGCCGCAGTGGCTGACCCACCATGGGGGCCCAGGCAGCTAACGCTTTAACTCCAGCATGTCTGCCGAGGCTGTCCCTCCCGCCCCTGAGCCCCACGCACCCGACCCACCCAGGTGGGCACTCACCAGCAGACGAGCCCCGCCAGCATGGCCGTCCAGGTGACGCAGCAGGAGTTGCGCTGCTTGGTCTGCACTCCATCGTCCCGCCGGCAGCAGCACAAGCAGACCAGGTAAACCGCAAGGAAGATGAGGTTCAGCGCCAGGCCCACAGCAGCCACCAGCCCCAGGAACAGCAGCGACTGGGAGATGGGGGAGGCCTGGTGTCAGCACTCGGTTCCAGCAGGGGAGATTCTGGAAGCGCCTGCCCACGGGGCCCCCACATTACCCCCAGGGTATGTGCGTGTAGGAACAGGGACAGAGCTGCACGTCTGTTACCAGCTGTAATGGACTGAATTGTGTCTCCCAAATATGTGTGTGAATCCTAACCCTATACCTGTGGATAAGGAACGCTGGTGCTGCAGCGGTTAAGTGCTTGGCTGCTAACTGAGAGGTCGGTGATTCAAACCCTCCCAGTGGCTCTGCTTCCGTAAAGATCACAGACTAGGGAACCCTGTGGGGCAATTTGACTCTGTCCTATAGGGTCGCTATGAGTCGAAATCAGCTCGACAGCAGACAACAATGTACCTGTTGATATAATCCTGTTTGCAAATAGGGTTTTCATTATACTAATAAGGCCACGTGAGCGTGCGGTGTCCTAACCCTAATCACTTCTGATCACACAGCACATATTTTGGGAGACACAGTTCAGTCCATTAGAAGGAGCAGCACAGACACAGGAACAAACACAATGCGGGGGGATGGGGGGGGAGACACCACATGAAGATCGCCAAGGAACCGAGGAACACCGGGGCTACAGAAACTGAGACAAGGATCTTGCCCCTGAGCCGGCACCCTAACTTCAGACTTCCAGCCTCCTGAACTGTGAGAAAATAAATTTCTGTTCTTAAAGCTACCCACTTGTGGTATTTCTGTTATAGCAAAACTAGTAAAACAAGACACCATCCTTTCTTCTTGCCTTCCTTCCTTCCTTCTATAATTAGAGTTCCTACTCTATAAACAACAAGTGTCCCACACTTGGGCACTGGGTGGGGAGCGGGATGGGATTAGACTAGGATGTGGGCAGAAGACAAGTGGCCGGGCTTGGTGACCAGCTGAGTGGGGGGTGTGGGAGGAGGAGCTGCGAATCGCTGGCCCCCAGGTTTCTGGCTCCCACACCTGGATGCAGGTATGGGCCTAGGCCCTGCTTGATGAATAGCTCAGAGCACCCAGAGGGGCAAGGCAGGAACGGCCTGCTGACGGTGAGGCCACGGGTGATGAACTGCTTGCCTGGGGAAGACAGAAGCGCCCCAGGGAAGACCTTTGTGGAGAGGGACATCCCATGCACCAGAGCGTCCCGAGACCTCCTGGTGGGGGGAAGGGACTGAGAAGGATGCCTGAGAAGCTGCGTGGGACCTGCAACAGGGCCAGGAAGGAGCTGCCTGGAGTAGCCACCTCTGTACAAACCAAAACCAGGACCCCAACTCACGGCAACCCCATGTGTGTCAAAGTAGAACTGTGCTCCATAGGGTTTTTTTTTTTTTTCTAAATTTTATTTATTTTGTTGTTTTTGTTGAGAATATACACAGCAAAACATACATCAATTCAACAGTTTCTCCGTGTGTAATTTAGTGACACTAATTATCTTATTCTAGAGTTATGCAACCATTCTCACTCCCCTTTTCTGAGTTGTTCCTCCCTCATTGACGTAAACTCACTGCCCTTCTAAGGTTCCTGTCTAATCTTTCGAGTTACTGTTGTCAGTTTGTTCCCATATAGATAATTCTTAAAAGAGCATAATGCTCAAGGCAGACATTCTTTACTGGGTAAGCTAAACTATTGTTTGGTTTTAGGAAGACTTCAGGGATATTTTTGGTTTAACGTTTAAAGATTATCTCAGGGCAATAGTTTCAGGGGTTTATCCACCCTCCATGGCTCCAGAAAGTCTAGAGTCCATGAGAATTTGAAATTCTGTTCTGCATTTTACCTTTTTTGACCAGGATTCTTCTACGGAATCTTTGATCAAAACATTCAGTAATGGTAGCTGGGGATCCCGTGCACCAGAGCATCCCAGGACCCCCTGGGGGAGACAGGGCTGAGCAGGACACCTGGGAAGCTGCATGGGGCCTGCAACAGGGCCAGGAAGGGGCTGCCTGGAGTAGCCACCTCCTCCATGCAAAACAAAACCAGTTGCTGTCAAGTTGACCCGAACTCATGGCAACCCCATGTACATCAGAGTAGAACTGTGCTCCATAGGGTTTTCATTGGCTGATTTTTGGGAAGTAGACTGCCAGGCCTTTCTTCTGAGGTGCCTCTGGGTAGACTTGAACCACCAGCCTTTTGGTTAGCAGCCGAGCATGTTAACTGTTTGTACCACGCAGAGACCCGTTTGTGCAAAGGGCCCCACTATCCCAGTTCAGTCATTCTATGCCCAGAATGTAAAAAGCCTTGTTCCAGGTGTTGGGTGTCCATCAGGACACACACTGTGGAGTGAAAGGGACAGTCGATCCCTGGGTGCCAAGGGGGTAGCCAGCCCCGAATTCTGAAGGGGCAGGAGGTGTCCTTGACCTCTGCCCCGGGGAAATGGCCCCTTTCTCAGGCCGCCTAGCCTCTCAGGGAGCCGCTGTCCATCAGGAAGCCTGATGTCCCCTCCCCCTTGCTCCCTAATCTCTAGATTCAGCCAGATGGACACCAGCTGGCACCGGGTTTGGTGGCTGCCAACCAGGGCTGGTCTTGGCTCCAAACCAGGCTCCTGAGCTGACAGCCTTCCCCTGAGCCTCATGACCCCCAAGAAGCTGAGGTCCAAAGCCCCCAGTGCTCCAGTCTGGGCTGTCAGGGTGCGGGCCTACTTTGGGGTCCCCTTTTATAGGCGGTGGCAATTGGCTTAGTAGCGGAAACAATATTGTGCAGGAGAGCACATACATATACACGTGCACATGCACACACACACACACACATGCACAAGCACACGTACACACGCAGCCACACAGGCACACACACGTGCGTGCACACTCACATGCACACATGCACACACACACAAGCACGCATATACACATACACATGCAAGCACGCACGCACACACGTGCACATACACAGTGCATGCATACACGCACACGTGCACACATGTGCACGCCCACACACACACAGCCCTGAAGAAAAGGCCGGGGGCTGCAGTCCCGAGGTCCAGGGCCATTTTCCGGGGGCAGCGCAGGGTGGTGAGGATGCCTGCTGCAATCACCCTCCCCCGTGCCTGCTCGAGCAGACCCCTGAATCAGCTGCTCTGCTGCCCCTCCCTGCCTGGTCTGGGGATGGTCACCCTGGACACATGGGCTTCTGGGTCTCAGGAATGAATAGCCCAAGTGGTGGGGACAGCCCAGAAAAAGGCAGGGGCGAAGGCTTCTGTAGGAGTGGGTCCCACGGATGTGACTCAGAACTTGGTTTTCACCTCCACCTGGGATCAGTGCATCACAGGTGCTGCTGGGAGCACCTCGCCACCCCCACTCAGCCTCCAGGCAGCTGGGAAGACAGGGCCAGGGGAACTGAGTGATCACCTGCTGAAGTCCTCACAGTGTGGCAGGTGGCTGGGGTTGGTGTTCCCCTCCCTGTCCCCAACCACTGGTTAGCATGGCCTGCCCCGGGGCCTGGCCCCAGGAGTTCCCTGCCCTGGTAAGGCAATGGAATCTAGGTGTCTGCCTGCCAGCCTCCAGCCCACACCCCCTCCTGGAGGGCCCCCGCAGCCCCAGGTCAAGGCAAAGGAGGTCAAGATGGATGGGGGACACTCGTTACCATCGAGTTGATTCTCACCCATAGCAACCCTACAGGACAGAACAGAACTGCCCCATAGGGTTTCCAAGGAGTGGCTGGTGGATTTGAACTGCTGACCTTTTGGTTAGCAGCTGAGCTCTTAACCACTGCGCCACCAGGTTCCACTGGGGGACTAGAGCCTCACTATTCAAAGTGAAAGGAGCCCTAGTGGAGCAATGGTTAAGCGCTCGGCTGCCGACGAAAAGGCCAGGTAGGCAGTCCTGGCTCCATGGGAGAAAGACCTGGCGATCAGCCTCTGTAAAGACTACAGCCTAGAAAACCCTATGGGGCAGTTCTGCTCTGTCACATGGGGTCTCTATGAGTTGGAATCGACTGGATGGCACACACAACAATTCAAAGTGAAGTGCAGCTTGTTAGAAATGCAGAATCTCAAGCCCCACCACCCTAGGCTGAGCAAATCACAACCGCATTTTGAGATGCTCCCCAGGTGATTTATATCCCCCAAGAGTCAGAATCCACTCAACAGCAAACAACAACAATAAAGCGGGCGAGGGGGTCCCTGGGTAGTGCACGTGGTAAAAGTGCTCCACTGCTATCCAAAAGGCTGGAGGTTCGAGTCCACCCAGAAGTGCCTTGGAAGAAAGTCCTGGCGCTCTGTTTAGAAAAGTCAGCTGTTGAAAATCCTACAGAGCCCAGTTCTCCTCTGACACATGTGGGGTGCCATGAATCGGGGTTGACCTGACGGCACTGGTTAAAGTCTGGCAAGCACTGTATTAGTGTTAACAGGGACTCTCAACTTTTCTCTGGAAACTTAATCTTTTCTTGATCAGAATCGTTTAGCAGAGCCCCAGTCTACAAAACAGCCTCAAGAGGAGTTCTGACCGAAGAGAGGATATAAAATGCCAGGCTTGGTCCTGGCCACCCCCTCCCGGATGGGCCCCTGAGATCCCTCTGCTAAAACCCAGGAATCCCTTAACAGTTTGCAAACCACTGTGTAAAAAGCACATCCCATGGCCCAGCAAGTCCACTCCTGGACATGTACCTTCTAGAACGGAGGCTTGTGAACCCCAAGACACATACACAAATGCTCACCAGTCCAGAACTGGAAACAACCCAATGTCCACCAGCAAGAGAATGGACACATACAATGTGTTATATTCATAAAATGGAATATGACACAACCATAAAAAGCAGGTCACAGCTACCTAGGCAACAATATGGATGAATCTCACAGACGAACGTGGAGGGAAACATGCCAGGCACAAAACAGCAAAGACTGTGCTGTTTATACAAAGTTCAAGGCAGAGAAACTAACTCATCTACAGTGGTAGATGTCTGCATAGTAGCGACCTTTGGAAGGGTATTGACTTGGAGGAAGTGAGGGAGGCCCTGGGGGTCAGGAAGACTCTGTTTCTGATCTGGATGGTGTCACCCTATA